TCTGGGGCAGGATACGGGTCAGGAAGTTCTGGTGGAACAGGTTCTGGAGCTCTGAGGGGCTGCTGTGGCACCTGTAGATCCTTCATCCGTGGCACTGCCATTTCCGCACGAAGTGGTCGAGGTGACAGGCTTGGCCAAGAAGAAAGGTTCAAGCTGTCAATCAAGATTTGTGCTTCGGCTTCGGATGGCACGGTGACAAAGGCACAGCAGGAAGTTGTAACAGCATACTGGCCCTTCCGAACCACCTGTATGTGGTGGCTTTTAAGCCCAGGGAGCAGCTTCACAAGCACTGCCAGCAGTTCGGCTTGTGCCACAGCAAGCTTCAAGCCGGCCAAAAACACACGACAGGAGGAAGAGGGCATGGCTCTCACACACAGCTCCACAAGACTAAGCTCCTTTGTCACCTTTGGGATTACCTTCTTCTTATACATATGGGCTCCTGTCTATATACAGGATTGTGCATCACCTTTATATGGGCTGTTCTGTTCACAGAGCACTGGTCGGCTGACTCAAACAAGTTCATGCCCAAGACGCCAAACCCCGGAAGCCCCTCCAAGCAACCCGGGTTTGGATTTAGGGTTTAGGGTTTAGGGTTTAGGGTTTAGGGTTTAGGGTTTAGGGTTTAGGGTTTAGGGTTTAGGGTTATATAAGCTTCTTTCCCGGAGCCCTCAGCCCGAAATCCTATCCTGAGAAGACTATACTCCCTTAAATCCTTAACCAAACGCCTCTGTCGTCCCTCAACTCGGTTTTTAAAGCCTATACCCTAAACCTCCCAAGCCTGTATTCCTGAGAAAACGGCCTCAGTGAGGTCTTGGATTTAAGGTGTAGGGAATACAGGCTTGTGTGTGTGAGGTCTTGGGGAACCCAGGCTTGTGAGGTTATAAAGAGGGTTTATAGGGTTTAAGGAATGCAGGCTTGTGAGATTTTGGGAATACAGGCTTGTGAGGTTTAGAGTTTAGAAAGAGAATTTAGGGTTGGGAAGTACAGGCTCGTGATCCTTGAAGGAATACTGTGGCTTCTGCTTTAGGGCTTATATTTAGGTGTGAGGTTTTAGGAAACACTAACCCTAGACCCAACCTGTAACGCCCAAAGCGCCTGGCCTGCACAATCTCGCCGTCTGTCGCCACAGCACGATCGGCCTCTGGCATGTTCTTGTGTTTGGGGTTTAGGGCTTAGGGGTTTTAGGGGGGGGGGGGGGGGGGGGGCACACACTTGCACACACTCACACACTCATGCCCTCGTGTATATACAGGTGTGTCGGAACAGTCACTCGCACAAAGCACGACACCACAACTTTTCCTGCATCTCGCACTGCTGGTGTTTTGAGATCACACACATCAGGCTGGCTCCTGTGCACACACACACACACGTTCATGTGATATGCCTATTTTCAGTGAGTATGATGCATGCTATCACACGCATGCACCGTGTGCACCTCGCAGCCCTTGTCTCTTGACCCTAGATACATCATCGCTGGGCCCACAGACTGTGCCCTCTTCCAAAATCAATCTTCAAGCATGGCATAGCCACAAAATGCAGGCCCGCTCACATCGAGGACGCCGCTTCGGCAGATTTGGCATGCTTCTTCTTCTTCCTCTTCTTGGGCCCAGTGCTCTCTGTGCCAACATACTCGATTGGCTCGGTGTCCGTCTTCTTCTTCTTCTTCTCCTGCACCTTCTTCTTCTTCTTGATCCCGGGCTGGACAATGGACTCGCCGTCCTCGTCGCAGCCCTTGCCTGTGCTAGTCACCGACACCGCCTGGTCATCCTTGGGCTCCTGGTCATCCACTGCCGGCCCACCTTTACCCTTCTTCGTCTTGGAGTTCTTCACCTTGACCGGCCTGGGGTTCTCCTTGTCAAAGCTCACCCCAGCCTTTCGGGATGCTCTTCGGCCCATCTTCCTTGACAAGGCCTCCGACTTCCCGGCAGCCTGTGCTGCATTGAAGGCCCCATGCCAAGCCCTGGAGAGGAATCGCTTCCGCAAGGTGGTACGATCCACCATGTGGTCCGGCAGCCACTTGCCCCTGCCTGAGGCCTTATTCTCCTCCTGGCACGCTTTCTTCACACTCTTTGCCTTTGCTTTCGCCTTTGCTTTTGCCTGTGCCTTGGACTTGGCGCTCGCCTTGCCCTCGGCCTTGAGCTTGGCAGCAGCAGTGCCAGTCTTCTGGCCCTTCACTGGCGGCTGCTGGGCCTGGCATGACTGCAAAAGCTTGCGATCCTCATCGTTCAGGCTGTCATCCAGGAGAAGTCCTGGCAAGAAGCCTTGCTCCGGCGAGTTCTGCAGGGCTGGGGCCTTCTTCAAGGCCTTCGTGGTCTCGGCCTTGTCAGGGATACTGGAGTCGCTGTCACGCTGCTGCAGCACTCTTTGGAAAATTGCACAAGGGTCGATGTCCTGCAGGGGCTTGGGCTCCAAGGTAGGCTCCTCGGCCTGGCTTTCCTTCTTTGACAAAACGCTGATGCTCCTGGCAGAATCAGCTCTCGTTGGTGCCACAGACAAAGCTTGCTCCTCGCCGATCGCCAGCAGCTCGTTCGGAAGCTCAAGCATGTCCAGCAGCTTCGTGAGAACCTGCTGCTGGTGCACATCGATCTTCCGAAACGCCCTGAGCTTGGCACCGTCCACCAGCAACAGCCCCCGCAGATGGGCCAGCGACATTCTGATGAAATCGTCGACGAGGTCCACCCAGTCGCCATCTTTCCGTCGCCCATTGTTGAGCTTCTGGGCTTCATTCAGGCTGCTGAGGGCTTGCTTATGCTTCTTCGTCGGAACTACCCCGTTTCGGGCAACGCCGAGGTAGTTCTCGAGCAAGGGGGCCATGTGCACAACCCAGCTGCAACAGCAGGAACTCTTCCATGTCGCCCCCCCTGGCGGTGTTACGAACTGCAGCAGGTCAAAACTCTTCTGAGTCTTCGTCTGCTCCAGGAAAACTGACAAGCATCGCTGCAAGTCGGCAACTCCCAGGGAGGGGTCTGGCACAAGGCGAGCCCGCACATACGACATGTGGCTCACAGCAAGGCCCCCAATGCCAGCACAGAACCCAAAATGTAGTTGCAAGAAGCTCGTTTCATGACCTTGTGTGAACAAGGAAACAAGGCAACAAGTAAAAACAAACCAAAACACGCACACACACACACACAAACATAGCACCCCCACACAACTTGTTTGGCATGACAAGTTTAGTGCATAGACCGGTTTTAGGGTGTACAGAGGGTTTAGGGTTCAGGGTATATATATAGGTTTGGGGCAGGCTTTAGGGTTGAGGGTTTTACCTTTGGCTTTTAGGGTTGAAAGGGTTGAAAGGGTTTAGGATTTAGGGTTTAGGGGACCCTAAACCCTGTGCAACAGATGCTGTGCTGCCTGCAGGGCCTCCTCCCAGGGCGGTCACTCTCAAGGTCACTCTCAAGGTCACTCTCACAAGGTCACTCTCAAGGTCACTCTCAAGGTCACTCTCAAGGTCACTCTCAAGGTCACTTTCAAGGTTACTCTCAAGGTTACTCTCAAGGTTACTCTCAAGAAACCCTAAACCCTAAACCCTAAACCCTAAACCATCCTAAACCCTAAACCCTAAACCCTAAACCCTAAACCCTAAACCCTAAACCCTAAACCCTAAACCCTAAACCCTAAAGCCCTAAAGCCCTAAAGCCCTAAAGCCCAAAGCCTAAAGCCTAAACCCTAAACCGAAGCTCACTCTCGCAGGTCGCTCTCACAGGTCACTCTCAAGGTCAGACGGTTTACGGTCAAGGGTTTAGGGTTTTGGTTAAGGGTTTAGGGTTTTGGGTTTAGGCTTTAGGGTTTAGGGTTGAGGGTCTCACACGGTCACAGCTCCCAGGTTTACCCTCGCAACTCAGCTCTCACTCTCACAAGGTGAGCTCTCAAGGTTACTCGCGCAAAAGCTTGAGCAGTTCACAACAACTTGCATGTTCAAAAAAAGAAAATGTTAGCAACACAAAACGAAGCAGGCATTGCCCTGGGGTGTTCTGGAGATATATAGGTCGATAGATATGTATATATATATATATATTGTTAGTTTAATTCATTTCTTGATTTTTTATTATATATGTATAATATAAACAATATACATATATATATATATATATATATGTACAGAATATCTATATATATATATATATACACATTTGTACACATATACAGCTATACACTGCTCAACATATCTTCCCACACCCAAAAAATCAGTGGAAGATTCACAGTTTTTGGGAAGAAGTTTGGTGGAAGTTTGGGGGGCTGAGGCGAGGAAGTTTGGGCGAAGTTTGGTGTGGAAGTTTGGTGGAAGTTTGGTCGCCGGAAGGTTGCCGAATTCGACAAACTTTGCCCAAATCGTTCAACCCTGGGGCTGCCGAATTCGTCAGGACTGTCTCGATTTCGACAGTCGAAAAACTCTATGGATTCGTTAACTTTTTGCTGTCTATGGTTCTGACGATTCGTTAACTAAAACACTTGACTAAATCATAGGGTTTCGGTTGAATCCTTTGTTTTCGGGATACGTCAAAAAATTGTCTAAACTGGTCTATTGGGTACCCTAAACCCTAAACCCCCTAAGCCCTAAACCCTAAACCCTAAACCCGTACTGTTATATGCTTGGGCCTCAAAGTCCTGATTATAGGAAGTACGTTAAGGCCTAAGCACTCCCCATTTGGGTACATGAACCCTTAGGGTTCGTGGTTCTGGGCAGGGTCTAGGGTTTAGGGGCTTTGATGGTTTTGGGTTTTACTCGACCAGGAGTATGGCTTAGGGCTCTAGGAATTGTAGGCTTAAGAGTTGAAGGGCTCGAAGAACTCGAGAAGGTTTTGGTAGAGCTTGAGGATTGAGGGTTTAGAATTCTAGGATTATAAGGCTATAAGGTTATAGGGTTATAGGGTTATAAGGTTATAGGAGGATGGTTATAAGGTTATAAGGCTATAGGGTTATAGGGTTTAGGGAAATGGGGCTTAGGGTTTTTTTGGGTTTTGCGACTCGAGGTTTTGGCCTCTTTGCAGCCAAAGTGCTCTGATCCATTTCCCCGCTTCTGGGAGCTCCTGCTGTGGGCAGGGAATTTCGGGGGTTCGGGTGTAGGGTTTAGGGTTTAGGGTGTAGGGTTTCGGATTTAGGGTAGGGGGTTTAGGGTCGAGGGTTTCGGGTTTAGGGTCAGAGCTTAGGCAGGTACGCAGTTTGGCTGGGCACTCACGGCGTTTCAGGCGCTTTAAACTCGAAACCTGCAACCCAGCCCACAAATAAAAACCTGAAACCCTTAACCCTAAACCCTAAACCCTAAACCCTTAACCCTAAACCCTGAACCCGCAACCTGAATTAAACCCTGTCAACCCTTGAGCCCTGAATGAACATCCCCGCCAATAGCTGAGCTGAAGGAGGGGAAGCCTGCCAGTCTGTCACCCCTACTCCCTGAACTCTAGTTTAAGGTTTAGAATATGGGCTTAGGGCTTAGGGTTTAGGGTTTAGGTTTTGGGGTTAGGGTTTAGGATTTAGGGTTTAGGGTTTGGGGTTTAGGGTTTAGGGTTTAGGGTTTCGGGTTTAGGGTTTAGGGTTTAGGGTTTAGGGCTAGGTCTGGTTCCCAGGCCCAAACGCTGCTTCAACGCTGAGTCCTCGGGCCGATTTACCACAAGGCCGAGCTGGAAGCGACTCCTCCTGCACCCCAAACCCTAAACCCTAAACCCTAAACCCTAAACCCTAAACCCTAAACCCTAAACCCTAAACTGTAAACCCTAAACCCTAAACCCTAAACCCTAAACCCTAAACCCGAACCCTCAACCCTCAACCCTCAACCCTAAACCCTAAACCCTAAACCCGAACCCTCAACCCTCAACCCTAAACCCCAAGCCCTAACCCTGAACCCTAAACCGGGGTCAGGGGTCTAGCTTTCAGGTGTTCGGGCTTCAAGGCTTAGGGGTTGAGGGGTTTGGAGAGTGTGGGGCTGGGGAAAGGTTGTGGGATAGAGCCATGCATGTATTGACATGGTCCGCTCGATAGACTTGTTGATTAAGGACTTCTCGGGTCCTTATGATAACACGGTCTCCTATATTCAAAGTTAGACTTTTGCTCGGGATACGAACAAACAGGACTCATTGGAACGCCGCCCACGCAACGGAAGGCCGCGAACCTCAATACATGCAGGCTGAACCTCAAACCCAAACGCTTCAGACCTAAACCCTCAACCCTAACCCCGAACCCGTAAACCCTAAACCCTACACCCCGAGTTCCCTTACGCCCTGAACCCTAAACCCTTCAGAGCTCTCAAGGGAGTTCCCCTTACTTGTGTTTAGGCTTTAAGGGGTTCATCTAAGCACATGTATAGTACTTAAGAGTTTCGTGTACCAGAAAGCCCCCCCCCCCCCCCCCCCCGCCCCCAACCCAGTTTCGGGGTTTAGGGCTTTGGGGTTTAAGTTTCGAAAGCGAGAACTGAAAGAACCGTGCTCTCCCACGTTTGAAAGATGATGTCTTCGTCAGGCAAGAACCGAAGGAATGCTGCGGCAACAGTGACAACCACTAACCCTAAACCCTAAACCCTAAACCCTAAACGCTAAACCCTAAACCCTAAACCCTAAACCCTAAACCCTAAACCCTAAACCCTAAACCGTTTGTTTGCAGTACTCTCTTGTTTGCGAGTCTACGATGATTTCCGCATCAGCAACTCGCGGGCACATGGGTGGAATACGTGAGGCCGAGCACCGACGACAGCAACAACCTAAGAAGGAGCACCTTCCCACAAGGCCACGGGCCCTCTCAACACATCCCCTTGTTCATTGTTGGGATAATATTAAAAATCAAAATTTATATTCCTTATTGGGTTGAAGTAACCTTAACAATGTCAAATGTTACCCAACTATGACAAAGTGGTCCAGCTGAGGCCAGAAACCCACAAAGACAAGAGCACACACCACCTGAGAATTGCTCCAAAACAGAATTCTCAGGGTAGCTACATGGTCCCGTAGTATGGGCCCTTAAACAGAGGGACCCCTTATATGCCCCTTATTAATTAAGGTACAGGGTTTAGGGTTTCTTAAAGGTTTATTTCAAAACTTGTGTGTTGGCACTTTTCCGATCAGTCAAAACGTTGCACGGGTTGAGAACATGCGCACATTTTGAAAGCTAAACCCTCTACCCTAAACCCGAAAACGTCCCCTTAACATTCAAACCCTCTAAAAAAGATTCCTAAGTATGATCCTCCACAACCCAAGTAAGGAAAATGCAAAAAACATCCCACGAGCATACCGAGTTTTGAACGCACGGTCTTCAAGCAACTTTTTTCGATCGCCTTAAGCTTGAGCTGCACGACTTGGAAAAAGTGAGAAGCAACACCCTGAACCCTAATTCCGAATCCCTAAACCCTAAACCCCAAACCCAAAACCCCTACAAACAACAGGCTCTTCGGCGTTTGCTTCAGTTTTTGGATCAAAGCTGAGGCTTTTGCGTTTCTCGATTCCGTCTCCGCTTTGGGTGTTTTGTCGGACCTTTTTGTGCCATCAACTAACCACTTTCCAAGGCGCCGGAGGCTTGCCGCTATTTGGCAGGAGCACACGCGGTTCTAGAACATATGGGGGTGGAATACTGGGGCCTATTTAATGAGAATGCGTGTTCAGGTAGTCTGTATTCTTGGTCTACAAGTCATAAGGGACAAATCTTGGGCACTTCTTTCGGAGAAGTTGCCCATGTGAAGCTGCCCTAGACGGGGGCTTACGATATTAGGGGTACCTCTTTGGAAAGGGGAACCTACTAACTATTTGGGGGTCAAAATTGGGGGGTCCGTGTTGTCGTAAACCTCCAGATCAGAAGCCGGCCTGCCGATGAGATCACCGGTGAGGTGGTTGAAGGCGAACTCGCCCAGTAAGGTCTTGGTTTAGGGTTTGGGGGTTCAGGGTTTAGGGTTTAGGGGTTGCTCGGTCAAGAAGCCCAGTTTGCGAGATTGGCATTGTTATAACTAGATTCCCAGACCCCTGAGAGGATCCAAACAGGAGATCCCTTAAAGGCTCCCAATCAATGGCCCGATGGGTTACTACAGTAAACTCCAGAAAGTTGGAACATGGTTTCAAGTGATGATTAGAGCTGGGATTCCCTTTAGTTTATTTTGACTTATGGGGATAAGGATGTTCCAACTTTTTGGAGTTTACTATAATTGGGGGTTTCACTTTGTTGGATCAGGTGAAAGAAACGGCTCATGGATTGAGGTGACGGTGGTTACTTGGAGGTTCATGGTACTTACCAACCAAAAAGTAATTGCACATATAACCCAACTAACTATAACCATATTAGGGTTTTGGAAGGGCTTAGAAGTGGGTTATCAACACAGAAATAATTGGTTTCTTAAGCACCACGAACCTCCAAGCATGACTGTTGCCACGAGCAGCCATTATGTGCACATAATGCTGCGTGCGACCCCGAGCATCACTCCGAACAATTATGGGGTTCTTAAGGGGGGTATGTAATCCAAGGTTCCCAAATACTCCCTACTACTCTTTGAGGCTTTTTGTCCCAAGTTTTGTAAGGTTTTGTAGGTATCTACCCCCACGAACCCCCCTCCCTTGAGAACCCTACGAAGCAAGGGGCAACAGGCTAGCCTATCAAAACCGATAAGCCGCCACATGTCCTTCGTACCCTCAACCACTATAAATTGGGATGTTCCCACTGATACTAACCGTCCATCTTCGGGAGTAGAGTAGAGGGTCCCATAATGCCGATCAAGGACTGTTACCTTCGTACCCTCAACCACTATAAATTGGGGATGTTCCCACTGATACTAACAGTCCATTTTAGGGAGTAGAGTAGAGGGTCCCATAATCCCGATCAAGGACTGTTAGTATGAAGGGAACATCCCAACCTATAAGCCCGAACCAATAAACCCCAAGACACCCCAAACCCTAAACCCTGAACCCTAAACCCTAAACTCTAAACCCCCTCGGTACGCAGCACCCAGAAGGAATATACCCCTTCAATTGTAGAGGGATTCTTACATATGACTTAAGGCCTATTCCGTAATTAAGGAAGGGCCCTAAACCCCAAACCCCAAACCCTACAGTAAACGCTGACCAAACTAAGGGGTGTATTGGGCACTCTGGGCAACTACACTAGCAGATTCGGGCAACTAAAAGGATGGCGTGGAGTGGTCGGCCATCCTGTGTATGGCATACTCTTAGGGTAGTTACATGGTCTGTTGGTATGGGCCCCTAAACGGAGGACCCCTATGTACCCCTTGTAGGCCCTATACGAATTAAGGGCCCATACATCAGAACCCTGTAAGAGAGGGTAAGGGACCACATGAAGGGCGAATGAAACTACCCTTTTCCATGTGGCCGGTTCACAAAATTTTGACCAGACCCAAGAGTGACCTAGAAAAAAACAGGGTGCCCTTTTTGGTTTAAAGCGGCTTGTAAGGGAGCCTCAACTCTAAAAAGGGTAATAAGGGCCTACACTGGGTCCCAGTGGCTCCCTCCTGTGGACATATGAAGAAGCGCCCATAAGTTGGAGTTGGAGGAACCCCCCCCCCCCCCCCCCCCCCCCCCTCAGCGCGCCCAGCGCTTCCTTGTTGTACTACCCAAGAACCTAGAACATCGAAGCCCTGTGGGTTTTTTGGTTACCTCGGACACCAAAAGCGGAAAAAAAAGTCCACTAGGAGATGTAGCATGTAATTCTCTGGGCCACTTCCCTTAACTTGCATTTTTTCCTTTGGGGTGGGGGGGGGGGGGGGGTCGAGGATCAAGAAAGTAGAACCCCCCCAATTAATGGATCCTTCTTCGGAACCCTAAAGGGAACCTCTTAATTGGAGCCTCCCAGGCGTCTTGGTGGAGCCCCCCCTAACCCTAAACCCTAAACCCTAAACCCCCCCCCAAGATGCTGCCAAGAGGCAACCCAATGCTGCCAGAAACTATTTGGCAGGTCTTGTTCAGGGACGCCGCTTTTTTTCAACTTCTCCTGCCTTGCAGTTTAGGGTTTAGGGTTTAGGGTTTAGGCTTTAGGGTTTAAGGCATCATGGGGGGGGGGGGGTTTGGGCTTAGGATTTAGGGTTCCGGGTTTAGGGGGGCCGAAGCCGAACTGGGATTCCCCAATGAACGCGGAAACTGATAAGTACTCCGTAGCTCATGTAAAGCAGGGCATATATTTCTTGTACCCCCTATATACACTCACCAATATTAAAAAGGAGCCTTATATACACTCACCAATAGCAGTAATATAAACCCTACTTCATGTGCAATCCTCCTCCCCCCTCCCCCAAACACGCCCAGCCCTAAGCCCCGTGTTATTCTCTGAGGGCAGTGACAGATCCCTGGCCGTTCCACCAAACCGCCCGAAACACCAGAAGTTGCACACCCTAAACCTTTAACCCTAAACCCTAAACCCTGAACCCTTTCAGAGGTTGGGGATTGGGGTGTAGGGGTTGGAGCTTAGAGGCCTTGGCCCTCCTTTCCTTTTCAGAGTTTAGAGCATAGGGTTTAGGGTTTAGGGTTTAGGGTTTAGGGAGGGGTCTATATGATTTTATAAGAAGGGCAGAGACATGGTAGGCAATGTTGACCCTGCCGAGGAGTAGTGCCTGACCGCAATGCAGGGCTAGGATTTGCTTAAGGAGCCACTCCAAAAACTGCAATTCCCCAAAAAGGAGAAACCCTGAGCCGTAAAGCTGAGGAATCGTAACTAAAAAACAATCGTAGTTGTAGTAGGAATAGTAATAACAGCGGCAATCATAAGGTGATAACGGTAGTAGTGCTGCTACTAGTACTAGTAATCATAGCGTTCATGGTACGAGATAATTGTCCTAGAAATATCACAAAATAGCAATAATAATATAAGACCAGTACTGGCGATTTTCATGAACGAAAAAGGAGGGGTAATACGAGCAAAATTCGTTTAATAATCTATTTGGAACGGGAGCCATGAAAAGTAAATCGCCGTACTAGCAAAGCAAAAAACAATTTTTCATCGCCATACAAGAAATAGGGAAATTCTACTAGCGGCAGTCATGGTAGCCATAGTAACTCAAAACAGAATATCATACTGAGCATAACAAGAGTAACAGTCTCAACATAACAATGACTTGCGATCAATAATCGTAATAGTGGCAAAAATGAAGGCTGTATAGGATCTTAGTGATTTGAGGGTTTTCAGGGTCTATTTAGGGTGACACTAACGAGACCCAGCAGTAGGAATAAAAAGGGTACCCTTTTTGGTTTAAGGGGATTATAAGGCTCAACCCTGAAATAAGGGCCTACTCCGGGTCCTGTTAACCCTAAACCCCAAACCCCAACCCCCAAACCCCAAACCCGAAACCCTAAACCCTAAACTAGGTACAAGTAAGGGTCTGCAGGGCTTTAGGGTTTTCGACGCCGTCTCTCGCCTCGCCCAGAGGACCGGGAAGTGCTGACCACTGTTGGACCTGATGCAGCTCCGGCACAGGGCTGTTTAGGTTCTGGGGGATTTAGGATTTAGGGTTTAGGGTTGCGGGCTCTGCCTGTTTAGGGTTTATAGGGTTTATAGGTTCTAGGGCTTAGGGTTTTAGGGCTTGAGCTTCTTATTGCGGGCTCTGCCTGTTTAGGGTTCAGGGTTCATAGGGTTCCAGGGCGCTAGATTCAGGATCTTATGGGGCTTGAGAGTTGTTGTCCGTTCAAGAGTCTTGGGTTCTGTGCCCCTCTGTCTCTCTCCTTGAGGCAAAAAGAGCCCTGTGAACCCTTAACCGTAAACTTCGGGTTGAGAGGACTTCTACCCTAAACCCTAAACCCTAAACCCTAAACCCCAAACCCCAAACCCCAAACCCTAAACCCAAGTTTGGCATCGCTAAGCCGAAACAAGCCACAAGCGAATTTAAACTTACATGTCCTTGGGGACCAAATCAACCCCAAAGATGGGGTCATATCTCCTAAAACTGTGAAAACTACGACTAAGGCATACGAACCATAAACCCGTTTAGGGTTTAGGGTTTAGGGTTTAGGGTTTAGGGTTTAGGGTTTAGGGTTTAGGGTTTAGGGTTCATGTCGTCCCCAGGGGTATAGGCATACGCATGTATGTGCGAATGTTTCCCGCTGAGGTCCGAGTCTTTCTCCAGCTCGCGCAGGTGGTCTCAAAGCTTGCTACTCGCGGCGCCCTCCTGAAAGGTGTCCGGCCGGATGCCTCGGCATAGCTTCGTTGGGAATCTTGGGGATGTCATGGTTTAGGGTTTAGGGTTGCTAAACCCTAAACCCTAAACCCTAAACCCTAAACCCTAAACCCTAAACCCTAAACCCTAAACCCTAAACCCGAAACGATAGTTATGAGTCTAACATACCTCTTCACAAGCTCCTCACCAAGTGCGGCGCATGCTCTGAAGAGTTGTCAGGGTTTGCTTGACTGGTGCTTCAGAGTTTAGGGTTTTTCAGGGTTTTAGGGTTTCAGGGTTTCAGGGTTTAGGGGGAGGAGAGGATGCCCAACCCCCCAAAAAATCCTGTGGAGATGCTCATAAATCTGCCTGAGGTGTAAGGACTGGATCCCCAAAATGATCCCTTGAACATATACCCCTACTGCACCCTCAACTCCAACACCCTACACCCCTAAACCTTAAGCCCTAAACCCTAGACCCTAAACCCATTCAAGGAAGCAAAACTGGCACCCGCGCTGCCGGCGCTGGCCAGCGCCGCATCCACCTGCGCCCGGTCGGCTCCTTGGAGTTGTTGGTACCTGGTTGAGGGTTCAGGGTTTAGGGTTTAGGAGTTGAGAGTTAGGGTTTAGGGTTTAGGAGTTGAGGGTTTAGGGTTTAGGAACTTAGGGTTTAGGAATTTCGGGTTTGGGGTTTAGGGTTTAGGAATTTAGGATTTAAGGTTTCGGGTTTAGGAATTTAGGGTTTAGGGTTTGAGAATTTAAGGTTTAGGGTGTAGGAATTTAGGGCTTTAGGCTTAGGGTGTAGGGGTCCGTAGGGTTTAGGAAGTTCGGGCTTAGGGACACAAGTCCTGGATGCTAGATTACCGAATACGAGGACTACTGCCATGATTGGCGAGAAATTAGGGTTTAGGGTTTAGGGTTTAGGGTTTGGGGAGCATGGTGCATGCTATCACCACGATGCTGAATATGACCGGAACTGTTGTTATCACCACTACGATTAGAACACAGTTCTACCGTGTCTTATGATGACAAGTTGAAATGACGACTACGTTCCACTGCGTGGGCCAGGGTTTTATACTTTGGGGCGTTCGTGTGCTGGGAGGATGTTAAGGGTTTGGGGCTTTAGGGCTTCTTTAGGGTTCATACGGCCAAGGGGTTATGGGGCCCAGGATGTACTTAAGGCCTTAGAGCCAACTGGGTGAGAAAAAGTGCTGCATGCTCGGGTTTGGTGTGCACCTGAACTCCTAATGTGGCTCCTCTTTTGGGTAGTAGGGTAAGCTACAGGGGACTATGTTGCGGTTCGAGCAGTTCATCCTTCTGCAAGCAGCAGACAATGAATTCTGAAATGGGGCCCGGCCACTGCTTTCGAAGGGCTTGGAGACACTTGAGCTGGTATTTGAAAGTCGGCTGGCGGTGGAGATGGGCACCTTCAAAGAGGTAGACGTGGGTCTCGCGGCGGCCCTCATTGATCGCTTTCCTTGCACTTCTGTGCCCGTGACCCTGAAAGACGCTACGGCTAATGTATGGCAGCATGGTCCAAACCCTACAAACCTTACACCCTGAACCCTGAACCCTAGGCCCCTAACCCCTAGGCCCCTACCCCCTAAACCCTGCTGAGGTCCTTCCTTAGCATCTCGAAGATACGCCCCAAGGATTTGGGGAACTTAGGGGTCTAGGGATTTAGGGTTTAGGGAGTGGGATTTAGGGAGAGGGAGTAGAGTCGCTGGGCTTCAGGGTTTCGACCGTAGGGTAGTATAGGGGTTACGGCTTTGGGTACGCAGCGAGCCCAAGCCCTAAGCCCTAAACCCTAAACCCCAAACCCCAAACCCCAAACCCCAAACCCCAAACCCTAAACCCAAGCGTCTCATTGTCAAGGAGGAAGGGCATGTAGCAAAGGCCGCAGAGCTTCAAGAGCTCGAAGGCACCTCTACGGGCCGCCAAAGTGGCTTCACATTCCCATCGGATGTCGGGTTTAGGGTTTAGGGTTTAGGGTTTAGGGTTTAGGGTGATTTGAAACCCGAACATCCCGCCCGTCTCCAGCGTTGGAGTACTTGACGGCTTCGTTGCCACTGCCTCGCCATCCGGGTATCCGGAGAGATCCTCTCACTTGGCCCCCCTACTTGGAGGTTCATGGTACGTATTAACCAGTTATCACTGTACGTATAACCCACTTATAAGCCCCTTAAGTGGCCTAATATGGTTATAAGTACAGTTCTCAGCACAGTTATAACTGGTGAAAAAGTACCATGGACCCCTAGGGCCCTAGGGATGTACGCGTTAGAGGTTCCCTGAACATACTCCTGAGAGGGGCCTTCTAAGATTCTATGGGCAGTTTCCTAAACTAGGGCCCCTTGCCCTTTAAAAAACCCTAAACCCTAAACCCTAAACCCTAAACCCTAAACCCTAAACCCTAAACCCTAAACCCTAAACCCAAACCCCCTAATTTAGAGAACTACACATATTCCATTCCAAAATCCTTACGCAGGGCCCCCAAACGCAAGGGCACAACCATAGGGGTCCAAGGTAAAGTTCCGTCATCCTCCACTCGGAAGACCCAGGCCCAGACGCTGGGGTACTCCATCACGATCCTTGAAGGTAGGGTTTAGGGTATAGGGTTTAGGGTTAGGGTTCAGGGTTCAGGGTTTAGGGTTGAGGCAGATTTGGCAAATTATCTAAGGGCTTTTGCGCTTCCAGAGTCCAACCTCAAGGCCGAGGAAGAGGCAGCAGGGTACACTTTTGTCTCTTTGCAGGGTTCTCTTAGTTGCTGAGTTCATAAGCCCCAAAAAAGTGTACACTTTCAGTTCTTGACGGGATTATAATATCCCAAAAAGTGTATATAAAGTGTACCCACTCAGCTGCTAGGTTTTTCAAAGTGAGCCCGAGCCCTAAACCCTAAACCCTAAACCCTAACCCCTCAGCTTTAAACCCTAAACCCTAAACCCTAAACCCTAAACCCTAAACCCTAAACCCTAAACCCTAAACCCTAAACCCTATCAGGATCCTCGAGGGCAGTGGGTCTGTCGCCAGCTGCCGCAGCTGGCCGTAGACGGCGAAGTCGGCTGCCGTGGGCTGGCCCCCGAAGATGAAGGGGACACCTTCAGGTTCAGTAGACCTTACGGTGTTTAGGGTTTAGGGTTTAGGGTTTAGGGTTTAGGGTTTAGGACTACAACCCCGAAGATGAAGGGGACACCTTCAGGTTCAGTAGACCTTAGGGTGCTTAGGGTTTTAGGGTCTTAGGGTTTAGGGTTACAACCCTAAACCCTAAGACCCTTAAAAACCCTAAAGCCTAAAACCTTAAACCCTAAAATCCTGAACCCTAAACCTACAGACCCTAAAGCCCTACATAAGCCCTAACACCCATAGAGGTTGTTACAAGTCAGGGTCCCGTTCGTGGGGTTCATTTCTTAGAAGGGCTTCTTGAGTTCAGTCACTTAGAAACTCACAGCAGCCCATGTATAGGGGCATGTATAGGGGTTAGGGTTTAGGGTTTAGGGTTTGGGGTTTAGGGTTTGGGGTTTATGGTTTAGGGCCCCAAGTACCAAAGCCTGAACTCTTAACCTTCAAGCTCTTTACCCTTTGGGTTTGGGGTACAGGCGCTCTGCTCGTTGATTTTTGCCGAAGCCTCCCTAATTAAGGTTTCCGGTGCACAGGTCCTCCTTGAAGCCCTCTTCGTTTTTAAGGACCGTGTGATGCAAACTTCCCTAAGCCTCCACGCCCTCAGCCCTACTTGGAGAGCACTTATAACCCTAGTTCTAGCTGTACTTACAAGCCCCCTAAGTAGGTTCTAAGTAGACTCATAATTGGGGTTAGAAGTAACCATGAACCTCCAAGTAACCCTAAACCCAAACCCTAAACCCTACACCCTGAACCCTAAACCCTAAAGCCTACACCCTAAACCCTAAACCCCAGACCGTCAGGGCCTCGGCGCAGGTTTGACTGCAGCGCCGTGCAGACGGCCCGAAGCGTCCTTTCCATACCTCTAGGGCTCAGGGTTCAGGGTTTCGCCTAAAGGGGCCCTTAAAAAGGGTTTAGGGTTTAGGGTCTAGCCCTAATAAAGACCCCTAAAATATTTTACTTCGAACATCCCCAGCCTCTCTGGGTAGAGCTCTGGGGTTGGGCACTCAATGGACACTCCGAGGTTGGGCACTCCAGGACCACTCGGCGGGCTTCTCGGGGACACTCTGGCGTTGGGCACTTCAGGGATGAGCGAGGACTAGACCGGGCGAGGAGAAGAGTTCCGGGCGAGGAGAAGAGTTGAGTGTTTAAACTCTACAACCCCCACACGGAGGGTTGGGAATGATAGGATTGCCTTATGAGGAGGACCCCAATTAAGGTACCCCTAATTTCGGAAACCCCCATAAGGAGCTACCAGATCTCTGAAAACGGAAACATGCTTGTACCTTGAGGCCGAAGGATCTCTATGAAACGAGTAGACAATATCTGGGTGTAATGGGTTCCAAAAAGGGGAGAGAAGTAAGTTTATCAGTCTATCTGGTCGCCAGAGTATCAGAAAGGAGAAGATGGCTCGAGTGCGGCGGGCAGAGGGGGAGGGCTGCCGCTTCCATCCGACATGCTTGAATTGTAGGCTTGTGTGGCGTTTGGGTTTGGGGTTGTCCTATATTAAACTCTTAAACCCTGATAATCTTCCCGCCCTCTCAGAACAAACCACCAGATGTCCCAAGACCGCAATATTTATGGGCAGCTCTGTGTGGTGAGGATTCCAACGAAAAAAGAAAAGCTCCGCGCAAGAAGAAGTAGTATACATGACCACTATCAGCAGTTCTTCCTATGAGTCATGATAATGGTACAACTACACTTCAGACATTAGCAACACCAGCTCTGTTGCAATACTAATAGTAGAAGGTAAACACGAGTATATACTACTGCTACTGTTACTACATTATTAGTAAGAACAACAACTACTACTACTACTACTACTACTACTACTACTACTACTACTACTACTACTACTACTACTACTACTACTACTACTACTACTACTACTACTACTAAACTTTGGGATGTTCCCCTTATGCTAACAGTCCTGAATAGGGATCCTAGCACCCCAATTATAATCCCTATTAAGGACTGTCAATACAAGGGGAACATCCGTAAACCCTAAACCCTAAACCCCAAACCTAAAACCTTCAAGCCAATCCCAAACTAAACTGATGACAATCCCTATAAACCCTATAAACCCTAATACTGTTCGTACAAGAGAGAGCCTCCCAAACTCAACTGATCCTAAACCCTAAACCCTAAACCCTAAACCCTGAACCCTAAACCCTAAACCCTAAACCCTAAACCCTAAACCCTAAACCCTAAATCACAGCGAGGCACAAGTCCAGTCGGAGCATCCGACCAAGGACCGCCTCTCGCGCTGCCGAGTGGCAAAAATCTCGATCGCTTGAGGAGCCGCCTCCTCGTTCCTTAGGGTTTAGGGGGGCTTAGGGTTTAGGGTTTGGGGTTTAAAGGGTTTGGGGTTTATAGGGTATAGGGTATAGGGTTTAGGGTTTGGGGTTTATAGGGTTTAGTCAGGGTTTAGGTCTTAGGGTTGGCTGGCCGGCACCCGTTGTCTAACAGGGCAGGAACAGGAACCCCGTAGACTCGTACAGGCACACGGGTTACCCTACTCTGGAGTAATACCCTGGAAAAAAAGTATATACTTTCTAGGTATAAGTAGCTAGAATAGGAACCCATAACCCAAAAAACATATTAAATTATTAAAGTACAGTCCTCCAAAGACCAGATTAAAAAAAAAAACTCGTGTTCGAACGAGCAGCTGAGCCCTCTCGGGGCTCTGGAGCACCTGCCATGCCGCGCCAAACTGAGCATCCTCGGGTGTGTGGAACCGGCCCTCGAACATCACTTTCGTGAGCCACTCATCCTTACTTCTGAAATATAAACCAAGGGGAAAAATGTTAAACTTTACTCTTCCTACTACGTGAGGAGACCCAAAAAAGCCTTAAAGTTCAGCTGTTTTCAGAAGTAAGCATCGGCAAAGTCCTCCAAAAGCGCGCAGAGGAAGGCAGCTCCGGCGGACGAGGGAAAAAGGCTCCGCCGGGTGCTGCCGTGCCGGGCATGGAGTTCCAAGAGCAGTGGAGTGGAGTCGTTGGCCTGCCTGATATTCGGAACCCTAAACCCTAAACCCTAAACCCTAAACCCGAAACCCTAAACCCTAAACCCTAAACCCTAAACCCTAAACGCAGACGCAAGTTGCATCTGGCCACATCTCTGTCTACATCCTGCTTTCTAGCGGAGGCTCTGAGTCTGAGGGGGAATTTGCGGAGCCTCAAATGTCTTTAGGAAACCTCTTGATGAAGCTTGATTCCTCGTGCGAGGCGCGTGCCATCCGGCCGCGCCAGCACAGGGATCACCTTGCTCCGGATGCCCGGAAAGTGCGCAGCGAACATCTCGGCCGCCGAGATTGCAAAGCCCAGCTGGAAGACCGGGACCCACTCGTAGGGAAGGCGAAGGTAGCGGAGTGCCGCACGCACCTTGCAGCTGTTGGGTGACTTTCAAATGGGGGCTAAATAACCTTAATTCGGTTTAATTACCCCTAAAATAGCCTTCATATGCCTCAATTTTTTGGGGGGGGGGGGGGGGGGGAACCTAGGGGGGGTACAGTATTATAGAAGGGGGAGTAGTAGGGGAACCACTGAACCTTGCAGCTGTAGGGTGAGCCATCAGATCCATAGAGCTTGTACACGGCAGCCATGGGGGTTTTGGAACGTACCCAAAGGCTGCTTTGTGGCAAGAAGGGGCGGCCAGTGAGCTAAACTTTGGCAACAGCACTCAGGTGGGTTGTTATCCCAAAGTAAAAGTACCCATTTATGTGCCCCAAGTATGATCTCCCTTTTAGAGGGATCTGCAAGAACAAAGGTCTGGGACAACCTCAACAGCTGCAAAGCGCTTGTCAAAGAAGCCTGCCGCTTGGCATTCAAAAGCTGCGGTCGCAAGTGCTGAAAGTACCCTAAACCCCTATACCCTAAACCCCTATACCCTAAACCCTAAACCCCAAACCTAACCCCCAACCCGAAACTCTAGACAGGGCTCTACGGCATTCGTAACTAATATCCAACGCCTATACCCTAAACCCGAAACCCGAATCCCTGCACCCCGAACCTAAGCCCTACACCCTGAATCCTAGAACCCCAAACCCTAAACATGCGAACCCCCCTAAAACCCTAAAACCCTAAAACCCTAAAACCCTAAAACCCTAAAACCCTAAAACCCTAAAACCCTAAAACCCTAAAACCCTAAAACCCTAAAACCCTAACCCCCTAAAACCCTAAAACCCTAAAACCCTAAAACCCTAAAACCCTAAAACCCTAAAACCCTAAAACCCTAAAACCCTAAAACCCTAAAACCCTAAAACCCTAAAACCCTAAAACCCTAAAACCCTAAAACCCTAAAACCCTATCACCCTAAACCCTGAAACCCTGAAACCCTAAACCCTGCAACCCCTAAAAACCCTAAAAACCCTAAACACCCTAAACACCCCCCTAAACGCCCTAAACACCCTAAACCCTAATCCCTACACCCCAAACCGCAAACCCTAAACCCCTAAACCCCCCCTGAACCCCCAAACCCTAAACCCTCAACCCCCAAACCCGAAACCCTGAACCCCCAAACCCCCAAACCCCAAACCCCCAAACCCTGAACCCCCAAACCCCTAAACCCCCAAACCCCAACCCTTGAACCCCCAAACCCCAAACCCCAAACCCCAAACCCCAAACCCCCAACCCCAACCCTTGAACCCCCAAACCCCCAACCCTAACCCTTGAACCCCAAACCCCAAACCCTAAACCCCCTAAACCCTAACCCTTGAACCCCCCCTCAAGATGCCCTGAGCCGTCAGCTTCAGGTGCCCATTGAAGTTGGTCCGGCCATCCTCTTGGGGGCGGCCGGGGGGTGCAGGGTGGGCAAAGGTTTAGGGTTTAGGGTTTAGGGTATAGGGTTTAGGGTAGGAGGTTTAGGGTTTAGGGTTTAGGAGTGTTTAGGGTTTAGGGTTTTGGAGGGTTTAGGGTTAGGGTTTAGGGTTTAGGGGTTAATTAGGGTTTAGGGTTTAGGGTCTCGGGCCTATCTTACATCCATAAAACTATCACCCTAACCCTAAGTCCTAGAAATTCAGGTCTCGGCTAGGGTGGCCCTCGACCCTCACCCAAAGTTTTGGAGTCTGGGGGGGGCTGTGGGAGTGCAATTGTTTGGGGTTTAGGGTTTAGGGTCTTAGGCTTGTGTTGGTGTCTCTCGTATGTCTTGTTTCTCTTGTGTTTGAAAGTCTAAGAGTCTCCAAGGACCGACACGCAACCCTGAGCCCTAGACCCATATAAGCCGCAAACTATAACCTAAGCCCCTAACCGCTAACCCTAAACCCTGAAAGCCAAACCATTGTAAGCCCTAAACCTTACTTTGCGTTTCTTACATCGGGGCTTTTATGAGCGCCGCGCGTCAGGAGTTTGGGGCTCAACTAGACGGTTTGGGATGCTTGAACTTTTAGTGGTAGTGCTAGCGGTGGTAGCGGCGGTAGCGGTGGTAGCGGTGGTAGCGGTGGTGGTAGTAGTAGTAGTAGTAGTAGTAGTAGTAGTAGTAGTAGTAGTAGTAGTAGTAGTAGTAGTAGTAGTAGTAGTAGTAGTAGTAGTAGTAGTAGTAGTAGTAGTAGTAGAAGTAGTAGTAGTAGTAGTAGTAGTAGTAGTAGTAGTAGTAGTAGTAGTAGTAGTAGTAGTAGTAGTAGTAGTAGTAGTAGTAGTAGTAGTAGTAGTAGTAGTAGTAGTAGTAGTAGTAGTAGTAGTAGTAGTAGTAGTAGTAGTAGTAGTAGTAGTAGTAGTAGTAGTAGTAGTAGTAGTAGTAGTAGTAGTAGTAGTAGTAGTAGTAGTAGTAGTAGTAGTAGTAGTAGTAGTAGGTAGTAGTAGGTAGAAGTAGTAGGTAGAAGTAGTAGGTAGTAGTAGTAGGTAGTAGTAGTAGGTAGTAGTAGTAGGTAGTAGTAGTAGTAGTAGGTAGTAGTAGTAGGTAGGAGGTAGAAGTAGGAAGTAGGAGGTAGTAGCAGTAGCAGAAGCAGTAGCAGTAGAAGAAGTAGTAGTAGTAGTAGTAGTAGTACTAGGTATAGGTAGTAGTAGTACTACTACTACTACTACTGCCTATACCTACTACTACTACTACTACTACTACTACTACTACTACTACTACTACTACTACTACTACTACCATTACTACTACTACCTATACCTACAACAACTACTACTACTACTACTACTACTACTACTACTACTACTACTACTACTACTACTACTACTACTACTCCGACGACTACGACGACGAAAACCCTGAGGCTCGAGATTTCTTGAGCCGGAACACTCAAGCCTGACCTAAATTCCCAAAACCCTACACCCCAACCCGCTACACCCTGGACCCCTAAACCCGAAGCCCACGCTAGCCCTATTGCCTGTGGACACCGCACCACACACAAGTCCAGTTGAAGCCTGAACCCTTCTTGGAGGTTCATGGTACTTACTAACCAAACAGTAACTGCACTTGTAACCCAACTGTAACCATGGTAGGGTTATTAAGGGGCGTATAAGTGGGTTCTAGATACAGTTATAATTGGTAGTTAAGTACCGCGAACCTCGAAGTAAACTCTATACCCTAAAACCTGCTAACCTCCGGTCCTGCTGACCGCAGATGCTGCAAACAGGGTTGATGTCGAAGAGCGCAAGTAGACTTTGGGCCTTAGGGTTTAGGGTTTAGGGTTAGCTTGTGGGCTTTACGGGTCATAGGCGTTACAGGTGAAAGAGATATGGGGTTTATAGGTCTGTGCGGCCAGGGATATAGGGGTATGGGGTTACAGGGGATATATGGTAGTTGTGAGGTTGTGGAGTTGCAGGTTAGATGGCTGTAGGGCTATGGGATTTCGGGTTGATGGCTGTAGGGCTATGGGATTTCGTGGGCAAGCTACAGAAGGCTACGCAGTATAACCGTTATAACCCGCCGCTTGGTTGTGTTTGTTGCTGCTGTTGTGTTTGTTGTCGTCGTCGTGGTAGTGATTGTTGTTGCTGTTGCTGGTGACGGTGGCGGCGGCGGTGGTGGTTTGTTCTTCTTGCACCCCTAGAACCGTACAGAATCTCTGCTAGCCCTTTCTGGTCTGACCGAAAGGGAGGTGCGCACGAAGCGCAAAAACCTGATTCATCAGATACAACCAACCAATCCTGAAAACCTGCAGGTGCCCTGTAAATGTAACCTTATAACCCCAAACCCTAAACCCTAAACCCTAAACCCTAAACTCTAAACCCTAAACCCTAAACCCTAAACCCTAAACCCTAAACCTCGCACCCTAAGCCCTAAACCGGCTGATGCCTTCGGAGATCGACACGAGTCGACACCCAGAACCTCTAAATCTTACACCCTACACCCTACTCCCTAAACCCTAAGCCCTAAACCCTACACCTGCTGGGACGGCTGCCAACGTAGAGCTGCTGTCCACCCGCAATCTCAGCTCATCCTGCTTTAGGAGTTTAGGATTTAGGGTTTGACGGCTTAGGGCTCCGGGGAATCAGGATTTGATTGTTCAGGTCTGGGTTCTAGGGTTTAGGGTTTAGGGTTTAGGTTTAAGGGTTTAGGGTTCAGGGTTGAGGTTTGAGGGCTAGTTTAGGTTTAAGGTTTGAGGGTGTAGTGTTGCGATTGGGCCTCGCAGCTTCTGTTGAAACCGGGCCGATGATCTCATTCCGAAGATCATGGGTTCGAGGGGCAGCTCGCTTGTCTCAAATGCTGACTTGAGGAATTCTGCCTAAGCCCTAGAAAGCCCCTAAAGCCCCTAAACCCTAAACCCTAAACCCTAAACCCTAAACCCTAAACCCTAAACCCCTGAACCCTGAATGTTCACTACTGAGAGCAGATCTGGGCATGCCGTTACTTTTGCTCTGCTCAGCCCGGGACTCGGCTTTGGCACTTCCGATTTGTTGGACGTTCAGGCTGCGAAGACTTCCTTTTACCATCATGACTTATGAGTACTACTACTAGGACGCGCGCGCGTGCGCGTAGTCAACTCTACTCTTTTGGCTTGTTAACACTCTCCTCGCTTTTTTTGCCTGGGCGCTGCTCTGGTTACTTCAGCACCCCGGTCCCGTACAAATGGTCCTTCAATTCTTTCCGACACTCGAGCAAGCTTGCGGAAACAAGCCATTTTAGTGCGACGTTCGCTTGTTTGCCTCAAGTCCTGAAGAAAACCCAAGAATGCAGTGAAGGTAGTTTTTGGGATCCCTGAAAAATCTTCGGTGCTCGCAAACCACGCTAACACCGATGCATTTTAACATGGAACCTGTTTCTGAACAGTACCTGAAGGCTCTAACGTAGTGTGTTCTTGGGTTTGCTTGTGGGCATTTGCAGTATACTACGCTGAAAAAAGTCCTACATAGCAACCTTTAGGTACTCCCTGAAACAGCAAAAATTGCAATTTTAGCTGTTTCTTAGGAACTAAAGCCCAAAAATAAGAATCATTTCCAAGTATCCCTAAGGAAGCCCGAAACCCTAAACCCTAAACCCTAAACCCCAAGTGCGATCCTTGCTTCCCGGGACGATGCTGCCGTTCCTGCTGGCATGGAGGCGGTGCCACTCATCGGCATCCTGGGGGAGAGGGGGGTCGGCGAGTTTGGTATGTAGGGCTTTCAGGTTCAGGGTTTCCCTAAACCCTAAACCCTAAACCCTAAACCTAAACCCTAAACCCTAAACCCTAAACCCTAAACCCTACGAGTTGAGCTCAACCCCCCTATAGGGCGTAGGGTTTTCGGGTCGCTGGCTTCCCTCTCTTGCGCCCCAAGGGGCCCCCCCAACAAAAAGCCCGAGAACCGCTCCTCCGGCATGTTTTTGAAGATTTCGGCCGTCTGCGGGTCGTTCAAGAAGTTGGGGAACACGTCCCAAAACCTTCGTGGAATCTACTACCACCAGCCGCCCCCCCCTCCCCCCCCGCCCCCCCCTACACCCCTACACCGGAGACCCCAGCTACACCCCAACCATCCCCGAAACCCTCCCCTTATCCCCCTCAATCTCACCAACCAAGAATAAACCCCATCCAGCCTATAGCGCCGACATCCCTCAGCCCTCATAGACTCCTAAACCTAAACCCCTAAGGCCCTAAGGCCTTAACAAGAACCACCGAGCCGCCTACACCCTGCCCTAACATGCTCAAACCAAACCTAGGGTTTAGGGTTTAGGGTTTAGGGTTTAGGGCTTAGGTCCCATGATCCCCCTACTAAGGGTAGTTACATGGGTCCCACGGCATGCGGCCCCTGGAAGGGAACTCCTTCTATACCCCTTCTATACACTTGAAACCCAAGGGCCTGTACATCAGAACCCTTTAAGGAAGGTTTAGGGTTTAGGGTTTAGAGTTTAGGGTTTAGGGTTTAGGGCTTAGGGCAAGGGACCATATCAAGGGACCACGTAACTTCCCTGAACCTTCAGGGACAGATTTAGGATGTAGGGTTTACAAACCCTAAGCTATAGTACCCTAAAAAGTTCCCTTAGATAAGGGACCATGTAGTAACCCTAAGACCCATACCAGCCCTGAAAACCCTCAGTCCATAGAGCAGCCCACGAAGTCCCCAAAGCCCCTGCAGGCCCCAAGCTCCCTCAGTTCCCTAAGTCTCCTTAAACCCTAAACCCTAAACCCTAAACCCCAAACCCACGGAGTCCCTATAAAGCCAGGGAACGCCTCCTGAGGAGGGCTTGTGGCCATGGTTGCCGGCCTCAAGAGTTCCCCTAATCCTCGGTTTAGGTTTTAGGGTTTGGGGTTTAGGGTTTGGGGTTTAGGGTTTCAGGTCCCCCTAAACCTCGTTGCTGCGTGGTGTGGGCAAGGCTCTTGGTCCTGACCGGGCCGGTTGCCCCTGCGACAACAGTGGGTTTAGGTCTAGGGTTTAGGGTTTAGGGTTTAGGGTTCAGGGTTCAGGGTTTAGGGTCTAGGTGCCGCCAACACCCCTGAACCGAAAAGCCCCTCGTTAGTTGGGACCTGCTTCCATTGTTTAGGGTTTCAAGAGAAACCCCTGGGCCAGAGACCCCTAACCCTAAAACCCTATGACCCTGCAACCCTATGACCCTGCAACCTTACAACCCTACAACCCTACGACCCCACAACCCTATGACCCTATGACCCTATGACCCTATGACCCTACGACCTAAACCCTAAACCCTAAACCCTAAACCCTAACCCTAAACCCTAAACCCTAAACCCTAAACCCTAAACCCTAAACCCCTGGGCCCGGAACTCCCGCTTTCGTTGGGTTTGGCCTTTGCGGCCTTGAGGGTGACGCCCCTGTCACCCACCCTGAAGATGCCCTCTTAAGAAAAAACCCTGCCAGTTGACGCGCGACAAGAACAAACCCTAAACCCTAAACCCTAAACCCTAAACCGTAAACCCTAAACCCTAAACCCTAAACCCCTGAAGTTCGAAGACTCCTAGGCCCGAGCCACGCACCTGGGCCTGCTGCACAGCAAGCTCCAGGCAAATTACGGGGGAGAGGGGTAGCTACGGTCCCAGATCCATGGTGAGGGGTCTAGGGTTTAGGTTTAGGGTTTAGGGTTTATAGGGTTTAGGGGGGCGGGGGGGTTTAGAGCGTAGAGTCTTGGGTTTCACGGTTAGGGTGCCAGTAGGGGCTTTTCAGATCTGTTCAGAGGCCTTTGGAGGCTATGGCTGAGGGCTGTGAGGGCTTCGAGGGCTTCGGGCTTGCAGGGTTCAAGCTTTGTCCGCTGCAAACCTCGGGGCCCATACGACTGCGGAGATGGTCGTGCTCTAAGTCCCAGAATAGCCTTGAACCCCTACACCCAAAAACTTCTGAACCCCAAACCCGAAACTTCTAAACCCCAACCCCTAAACCCTAAGCCCTAAACCCCAAACCCTAAACCCTAAACCCTTCTTCTGTCGAATAGGACCCTGGCAATGAAAAGAGTAGACGACTCTGGAGTTCCCCCAGGTGAGCGTCGGGATTCTGCCGGTGATCGATTCGGAAGAGGAGCCCTAAAACCTGGGTTTAGGGGTTTTAGGGTTTAGGGTTTAGGGTTTAGAGTTTAGGGTTTAGGGTTTAGGGTTGCCAGGCTCGCAAGATGAGAAATCGGTGCTGGTTCCGAGATTCTTAGACGAGCCAGGGCTGCGTCCTGCCTCATTCCCACGAATTCTTCGAACTTATATTGAGGGTTTAGGGTTTAGGGCTTAGGGTTTCTTCTACATCTGCAACCTCAATTTGCGCCGCAAAACATGCCTCGCGATGTTGATTCGATACGTGACCTAAACCCTAAACCCTAAACCCTAAACCCTAAACCCTAAACCCTAAACCCTAGACCCTAGACCCTAGACCCTAAACCCAAGCCCTAATGGCTAAACTTGCGGAAAGCCTGCGCTTTTGTCAGGACCATCGTCTGCCATTTGCCAATGCTCCATAACCAGACCGGGCCCCGTCCCAAGCCAATCCCCCACCCACCCTACCATTACCCTAAACCCTAAACCCTAAACCCTAAACCCTAAACCCTAAACCCTAAACCCTAAACCCTAAACCCTAAACCCTAAACCCAAACGGTTGTGCGGTTGCACTCACTGACCTCGATGTCGCACATCCAAAGCCCGCACCCTTGCCCACCAAGCAAAAAGGTCACTACTAATGGAATAGTAATTAGTATCTACTACTCAGTTCAAAACACCATAAACATCTTATACTAGGCTGCCCAGTAACCTAGGCTTAAAAAGGGTGCCCTTTTTTGCTTAAAGGGGTTGATAAGGGAACCTAAACCCCCCAAAAAAGGGAATAAGGGTACTACTGGGCATCCTAGAAAACTATAATATTAGTATATTTTTGTTTGGGTCTAAGACATTAAAAAAAAAAAAACACAGCCGACACCCACATGGTCCCTGAGTCCCTAGGAGCCCTAAACCCTAAACCCTAAACCCTAAACCCGAAACCCTAAACAACCCTAAACAACCCTAAACCACCCTTAACCCCAAACACTAAACCCTAAACCCTAATCCGCAATCAAGACGCTCGCCTTTCTCCCTCTCTCCCGAGCGCTGCCCTGCGGCAGCTAACACCCCAGAGGACTCAATAGTTTCAGCTCAAGCCCTAGGGATTATGGCCAGGGTTTAGGGTTTAGGGTTTAGGGTTCAGGGTTTAGGGTTTAGGGTTTAGGGTTCAGGGGTTTACTAGGGGTTTAAGAGTCTAGAGCCTGCGCAAGCCCCGACAGTGCCAAGCTAGAAGCGCTGTATCCCAGACCATAGACTCGTAACTATTAGACATCCTAGAGGGCCTGAACACACACCTCAGTGTGCACATGCAGTGATGTCTAGGGTTTAGGGTCTATAAGGTTTTCTGGGACTTGCAGAGGCTATGCGGGTTACAGGGTTTAAAGGTTTTAAGGCTTATAGGCTACAGGCTATGGGGCGTAGGTTGTCGATGCATCTTTTTAGCGTTTATTATTAAGATTATTTTCTATTTATTTTTGTTTCTGAGGGTTTCGGGTTTAGGGTTGTTAGGTTTATTAGGGTTTAGGGTGTTCCTTCTCAGTTGGAGCGTCTTGGGTCCTCCGGCGGCATACTAAATAGAGCCGGCTCGCCCATGAAACGCCGATGCCAGAACCCAGGGCTGAGGGTAGGTTATGGGCAACTTGGTCGAGGATTTAGGGTTTAGGGTTTTGGGTTATTAGGGGTTAGAGGTTAGGGTTTAAGGTTCAGGGTAGTATAGAAAAGGACTAAAAGCAACAAGAGTCCACTACTGAACAGCAGGGTCTCTTCTCTCTCCCTTCCACGCGCACACACACACTCCCCTCGCTCAGCCAAGTGAACACAACATCCTTGGGGAGGAGAGGGGGTCTTGGTAAAGCCTAGTAGAAAGCCCCAAGCCCTGTGCCGTCGGCTAGATTTATGACCGAAGCCCACGTAGCTTAGAAATATGAACCCTAAACCCTAAACCCTAGAAAGGGATTGGAAGGCAATCCCCGAAGCAAACAAGGCAATCAAGGGGGGCAGCGCGGGAGGTGCCATCTTAGGGTAGTTTCATGGTCCCTTGGTAGCGTTGGGTTTAGGGTTTAGGGTTTTTGGGTTTAGGGTACCCCTTACATACCCTAGAATTGAAACCCAGGGGCCCATACTGCAGAACACAATAAGGGCCCATGAAACTACCCTTAGATGCCGGGGACTGCACCTGTTTGGAGTTTAAGGCTGACGTGGTTTAGAAGGTTTAGGGGCTTTATATAGAGTTTTCTAGAGGATTTTCTTTGGGGTTTCATATTGGGTTCACAGGCTTTATCGGGTTTCATATTCGGTTTACAGGCTTTGTAGGGTTGACAGGGTTTCGGGCCGCTTAGGTGCACTGACGGGCGGCCCGGACCTTCGCGGGTCGCGGGCGTGCCAATTCATCCACAACCCCCCTTGGAAACCAAATGAACCCCCTAAACCCTAATACCTAAACCCTAAACCCGAAACCCCTAGCATTTAGGGTTTAGGGTTTAGGGTTCAGAATACCTGAATAGTCATTATAGTAGTACAGGGTCTATGAACCCTAACACTCGGGTCATATACCCTATACTGCAAAAACGACTATTAAGGTATTTGAGCCCTAAACCCTAAACCCTAAATCCTAAACCCTAAACCTATTAAGGTATTATGAACCATATAAACCCTTTTAGGGTTCATTTCGTCCCCAAGGCCTGGCCGATGGCACTGAGTGCACGGAGCCGGGGGAACCCACCCAGGTTAGGGTTTAGGGTTCAGGGCAGGGTTCAGGGTTTAGGGTTTAGGGTTTAGGGTTTAGGGTTTAGGGTTTAGGGTTTAGGATGTAGGGTTTAGGGTTCACTTTTCATGGGGTTTAGGGTAGTTTAGGGCCATAGGTAGGATGTGAAGTAACTACAGTACGGTCATACAAACGTATGCGGCTATTCTGCTTATGACCCTACTGACAACTCCCCCTCTGAACCTCCAAATAGCAGGGTTGACGGATCCACCAGCCACCATACCGTGAGACCTTCCAGGGTTTAGGGTTCAGGGTTTTTGATTTAGGGTTTAACCCTAAACCCGAAACCCTCAGCCGCGACAAGAGCCTGAAAATGAGCTTAAGAGCGTAGACCCCCAATTTTCCGCCCCATTCCTCAGTGCCCACGACAGCACATCACGTTGTCCGCGCGTCGCGCGCACGAAGGACATGTGGCGGCTCCTTGCCGGAGAAATTGCAACCCCTAAGCCCCTAAACCCCTAAACCCCTAAACCCCGAAACCCTTTGACCCTTGAACCCCTAAACCCTAAAAGTCCTAAACCCTACATCTGAGCTCCAAAAACCGAAAGAATATACATTTCGGGCTTCAGGTTCCTTTCCAGGCTGCCTTTACTTGTGGCCTACGCCAGGGTTTGGGGCTTAGGGCTTAGGGCTTAGGGTTTAGGGTTTAGAGATTAAGGGCCGGGGTTTGTCAGCGTGGGGGCAGGGGCCACCAAGTTCTTTAAGGACCCCAGGATTGTAGATGTTGCTGACTGGGCTGATACGTATTCTAGTCCTAGGAGCTAGGAATGAAAGGGTTAGCCTTCTGTAATTCAGGCGGCTTAACAGCGAGCCAAGCCCCAAGAGAAGGGGCACAAGGATGCCAGTGGGCACCCGGGAGAGCTAAGAATACAAAACAACCTAAACCATGGATTCTGCAAAGGCATATAATAGGACCAAAATCCCTATTAAGGACTATGAGTATAAGGGGGAACATCCCAACCCATAC